GATGTTGCATACTTGAGTTGGTGAGAGTGACATCATCCATGTAAGCAAGGATTTTGGAGAATGCTAAATATTCTGTGGTTATCCTTGTGATCATAGCTTATAAAAGATGGTCTAAAGTAAAGGGAATAGTGTTTTGCCTTGGTCAAGTCCTCTACTGACTATAAATAAGTTGGAGAGATTATAATATGTTATTATTTTTAGTTCTCTTTCGTTTAATAGGTCAAGCATGAGTGTGGTGGTTTTTGTTGGGATTTTGATTCATTCTAGGACCATTTTTAGACTTGGGAGATTTATAGAATCAAAGGCTTTGGAGATATCAAATGATGCCATTCAAATTTCTTTGTTAAGGTTATTTGCCATGTTAATATTTGAGGTGATTGTTGTGATTGGCTCTGTAGTGCTTTGATTTTTCAAGTCAGTATAGTTGGATTCTGAGATGACCTTATGCTTTAGAACCTTGGTGACAAGTCTGTTGTTAATGATTTTTGTAAAGATTTTTCTATTTGTTTTAATAAATGAGATTGGACGTGTGTCTGTAAGGTCATGTGACCAAACAATCTTTTTTGATAACAAGGTAATTGCTGATTGTTTCCAAAATTTAGAGACTTGGCTTAATGATAGTAAGTTATTAAACAAGGTTTTTAAATGTTTTTTTGCTATTATACTGATATGGGTCCAGGTTTCGTATGGGATGAGGGTGAGTCCAAGTGCTTTTTGCTTAGGCAGATTGGCAAAAACTTTCTTCATCTCTAAATCTGAAATAGGTAGTGTAAGATTGTCAAAGGCATTGTCAAGGATGTGGGTGAGCAGTTGGTAGGAGTCATTCCATTCATTATTCAGAAGGAAAGGTTTTGGATCTAAGATTTTCTTGAAGTGGTTAAAGATAATAGCTGTGAGCTCATTCAGATCATTATGAAGTTGATCATCACTACCTATAAGTATTGAGAAATCGAAAGAGGACTTTAGGTCACCTAGTGCTTTTTTGAGAGCATTTTTTGGTCTGGCCCAAAATCTATAATAATTTGATTTGATTCCTTTCTGTATTTCCAGAGTGATGATTTCATTAAGTTTGGCTAACTTTTTTTTAATTAAAATTTTCAACAATTTTTTGAAATCTTAAGTGCATAGGGATTTAGTAGTAATTTTTTAAAGAGCTGCATCTTCAACTTTTGAAAGTTTAAAAAAGAAATTATTGTTATAGTTGTTTTTGCTTTTGTTAATTGCTTTTTTTGTGACTTTTATAGCTCTAGTATAGTGTTTCAAAGGATCAATGTTTCATGTAGGTACTGTATATAATCTTTTTGAAATGTTGTTATCGAAGGAAGTTTTAATAATGTTATTCATGAAATCCCAAGTTGAGGAATTGATAGTTTGGCAAGCTAGTTCAATATCCTCTTGAAAGGCTTTAATATTTTCAGGACTAGCTTCTTTGAATTGATAAATGCTAGTGTTGAAGTCTACTCTATTAGGCTTATATTCAAACCAGTCCAAAATAGTTGTTACTTGTTTATGATTGGAACTTATAACTAGTTGCTCATGGATTTTGTATGAGGATACATTGCTTGCTAGGTTGCTGGTGATCTATACTTGATCGATCCTGGAGGCACTGGTGCTAGTGAAATGCATGTAGTATTCCTTTTTGTTCATGATTTTGGCTACATTAATGAATTTGTTAAGATAATGGTAGATATATTATTTATATGCTGTTATTAGGGCATTAATATGTAGAGCATATATTGAATATGTATTAAAATCACCTGTAAGAATTAAATGCTTGTTGGAGTGGTCTTTGATAAAGTTTTTAAGTATTTTGATAGCTGTTTTTCTTGAGCCTGGATCATGGAAAAGATAACAAGAGATAATAATGATATCTATTTTGGGTTTGAACTTAAGATATGTGGTGCATCAAAATTTATTAGTAGTAAATGTTTTGAAAATGTAATTTGAGATTGCTTTTGTAAAAAAAATAGCTGCTCCATTGCTAGCTGTGATAGTGGAAAGACTGAAAATGATGGTTATATTGTTTAGGATTGAGAGCAGTGGTTTTACTTTGTCACTTTTGTTTTAGAGCAGTACAGAATATATCTTTCGCTTGTCGTAGTTCTAATCAGTTTCTGGTATTTTGCATTGTCATTGAGTCCTTGAATGTTAAGTATGAAGATTGTAATAAGATTTTTGAGATTGCTTGTTATTGCAGATAATGGCCTGGTTGTGGTTATAAATAATGAAGGAATTGTAGATAGGAGACTATTTGAGTTAAGTAAAAACGATTGACTTGAGTTGAACAATGTCATAATTATATAAGTTTGGAAAGGAGAATCAGGTCTGAATTAGGTGACTCTGGTTTGGTTACAAATTCAGTGTGTAGTTTTTCAAAGTAAAAGATTTTTTTGAGAGGTTTAATTTTGTTGATAAGAGTTACATCCTCGATTATGGAAAGGAATAGTGTAATGTTTTGTGATTTAAATGTTTCTTGTATCTTGGTTAGATTAGAGAGGTCAGATAGAATAGGTGAGATCCATTCTCATAGAATTTCTCCCAGGTAATTATCTTTGATTTTCCTAATTATCAGATCAAATTCTGGATAGTTTCTATTTAGATTGTTGCTGAAGATGCCTAGTTTCTCTTCAATTTGTGAAAACTTAGCAGGGAGAGTAGTTTTTTTTGATTGGGCAAGGTCTTCTTTAATCTATTCAGGACTTAGCAGAAGTTTAAAAAAGAATTTTCTTCTGAGCTGTTTAATAAATTCTCTGACTTTGTCTTGTTCAATAATGGATAGGATATTACCATTGTTTTTGTTGTACCAGTGAATTGGTGAAAGAGGTCTCTTGGATTTGATGAAATCTTGCAATAGCTTTTTCACTGTATACATATCATCTCTCAAAATTTGAACTACTTCTTGTATTCTTTTTGGATCATTGTCGACAGGAAAATAAGAATGAAGATACTCAGGGAGGTTTTTATATGATGAAGAAAGGAATTATTTGGGTGGAGGAAGATTGAAGTAGGCTTGGGGAGTTTGCTTGGGACATAATAATGGTCTCTCAGTTTGCCTACGAATTTGCGCAGGTTCCTCAGGTCAGCTCTGTTTATAAGAGAGAAGATACTGTAAAATGTTTTTTTAAGATTAATTGGATTCTTTGGAAGGTCTGGCCTTTGTACGAAGAAAGAGGGTAGGAGTAGATTGAAGTTATAATATATTCTAAGACATTCTGCTACTTTTCTAATGAATTTTGGTAAGGTGATAGGAATGGCTTTGGATAGTTTAATCTTAATTGAGGCTAGGATGTTACTAGATAACTTAGAAAAATTAGACAATTTCATTTTAATGTGTTCTTCACACTTGTTGTATAATTCTTGATAGTCTATTCTAGTAAGTGCAGGATCAAAGAAGAAGTTGAAGCTGTACTCCAAGAGTTGGGCAATTTGCCAGAATTTTAATTTTGTAAGGTCAGTTGATCTGAGGTAGACTGCAAAAAGTGCTTTATTGATGATTACACAGATTTTTTTCCTGATGGTTCTAGTAATATACCCAATATTATTTGCTTTAAGGTAATTTGCTTTAAACTTGTTCTCAATATTTTCATATTTTCATTAGTATTGTCCTTTGATTAATTTGTTTTTTGTGAAAGTTCTGAAAAAGTCTCTGTCTCTATGGCCAATTTTTGAGAAGATAGCTTTTAATAATGATCTGGAGGGACCTTTAGAATTGTCCTTGAATTTGATAAAGAGTTTGAGTATATTTTCTGGAGTTCTGAGACAGACAGTTATCTTTTTGCAGTATGTGAGAATCTTGATTTGTTCATTTTCTGAAGTGTTGCTGCAAATGTTGCTGTTGGGTTGGCTATTAGTTGTGATTGATAGTATGGCTTTAGTTTCATCAGCCCAGAAGAAGAGGCTAGTTGTGAATTGTGAATGTGACTCGACTTCTGTAGAGAGATTATCAATTTCCATTTCAGTAGTATTTTGTATATTACTCAAGTTAGTGTTATTCTTATGTGAGAATGCAGGAGTGCATACATTGCTTGTTTCGTGTTCATATGGATTGTGTGCTAGGTTATTGTCAAAAGGTAGTACAGGTTTAGGAATCAATGCAGGGATTGTTGCAGGAGAAAAATCAGGCTGCATGCTATTGTCATCAATCATTTTCTCTGTAGGTGCAGGTGTGTTTAGTGGAGGTAAGGACATTCTGATTTTTCTTTCAAGAGTAAAAGTTTTATTTTCTTTAAAGGTGTTGATGTTAAGTTTCTTCCAAGGGATATGCAAGCCATAGTTGAGATGATGCTTTATAATCTCTCTTATGATATCTGTTCTGTTCTTATCTGTTAGTTTGAAGATATGTTAGAATTCCATAAAAGAATTTAAGTCTTCCAGGAGCATTGGTTCTGGCAGAGTTATAGTAATATGCATAAGTATAGGTAATAATCTGGTTCTTTGATGTTCCTCAAAGGTAGTGCTAATGATGTTGACACTTTCTAGTTTACTTTGTAAAGAGCAGAGGTGTTATCCATACTTTTGTGCAGTTTTTCAACCTGGGAAGGCAAATTGATTGTACAGAGGTGGAGGCAAAAATTTTGTTTGTTTGAATGTTTCTGTAGATAATAATAACTTGAAGGTTTTTAATATTGATGACGAGTATGTCGAGAAGGACGTGTTAATGGTTGACTATTGGATCCTTGGGAAGAGAGAACTCCCTAAGGTCCTTTGCTTTTTTTTTCTATGAAAAAATTTTGAGTTTCCTAATTTAGTAATTTTTTTGTGATGTGTGTGTATTTGGGAAAGAGTTTTGTTAAATATTAACTTATCTACTTTATAATATCTAATTAATATTGAAAAAAATTTTAAGAGCAATATTAAAATATTAGATAAAAAAGTAGTAGCTATATTTATTTATTGTCGCGAATGATTATGAAATCAGATGATATTGAAATTCACGTGACTTATATCTATATTAAATTATTTAATACCTGATAATTTTCAATTTGTTTATTTATTTTAATATGCTGGCAATTCCTAAAATTTCTGAAACAATAGAAGAATATCAAACAATAGTTAAATATTTTCAATTAAAATTTATTTCAGATGATATTCAAAAAAACTCTATTATAAAATTCAATTTTATTCATTATTATAAAAATTTTGAAATTGATAAAAATGAAATTCTTTATATTAAACCGGTTATAAAGAATGGTATAATAAAATTAGAAAAACGTTATATAATTTCTAAATATGATAAAAAAGAAAAAAAAAACTCTTTCCTACTCCCCCTTCTACACTTGAAAATTTCCTTTTTAGGAAATTTTTGAGTTGTTTACTCTTTTTTCTCTTTACTCACCCCTTTCCCCTCTTTCATATTTTTTTTTTTGCCTTTCCTATTTTTTACCTTTCCTTTCTTCAAACTTTCTTATATAAAAATTAAGGATTCTAACAATTCTCTTTGATTTTGTATTCGATTCTCAAGTTTATATTAAATTTAATAGGTGGGATATACTCTATCATCATTTTTAATAGTGTTCCAAACCTTATGTGATTCTGTTTGATTCTATTTGATTCCAATTTCGGAACTATAATAAAAATTACCCCCTCCCCCTTCTTTTTTCTCTTCCTTGCCAAAGTTAGGTTTTTCCTTCTTCCTAAAGCTTTTCTTTCTAGGCCTCTCTTTCTTTTAAAAAAAAAAAACTCACCCTCCATAACATCAACCTCTGGCCAATTGGCTTTTTTTTCTCAAGACCATATGTAGAAGTGGTAACTTCTCTTAAGACATGGACTTCAGAATTTTTTTCTCTTCCATGGCCTCATAGAAAAAGGACAGATAGTTTATCCCCTTCAAAAGATCGACATGATCATCATTACCAAATCCGGTGTTGTTTACTTGTTGATGGCTAAACTAGATATATCTAAGAAACCGGTGTACAAATATTATTATCTGAAAGTATCCAAGAAGTTGTGCCTCACTGTATCCAGAGGGATATGGCAACCAATGCCAATGCAATTAACAACAAGCCAGGTTAGTTTGCAGGTGTTATGCCAGTGATTAGAGAAATCTAGTAGGATAATACATAAAGACCAGGGATTCTAATTATCCCTGCAACACGAGCTGGTGATGACAACAAAAGTTTCTTGCCCACCCCTCTGACAATATAGACTTATTGTACAAGATTAAGTAACAATATCTATAAGAAACTCCAACTCCATAACATCCATTTATATCTGACAACAATTACTAACAATCATTACTATATGTTCAAACACTCCTCTTCCATCTCCCCCTGCCCTATACTTGTGCTGGATTCTTCTCGATTGCTTAAATGATGTGGCTATGTATGTGAAGCTTCTGGTAAAGAGCAGCTGTCCCCTTTCCTACTTGCCGCAGGTGCCACAGGCTTGGGTAACCTGTAATCTGTTGCAATCCTAGAAGGGTAGAGAAGGTCAAATACTAGGTGGTCAGATGAAAGGCCAATCTCTACTGGATGTCCTAACTGGAGTAGCAATTACTTAACTAATTGAGCAAGTTATTCAGGCGAAGTGTAAGGTGGAACATACTGTATTCAGCTTGCTGTATATCAAGCCACATTCGGAAAGCAAGCTTGTCAATCCTAATCATGACTTGGAAGCCAACCTGTATATAGTAGCTGCAGCGCCTTCATGTAATTAGGTTTCAAATTCTTCTAGGAAGCTAGATGCCATTCAAGGCATAATATAGATTTTGAATTTCTTTTTCTTATATTCTTGAGTGGTGCTAAGGAGCTTAGGCGGAAGGGCCTTCAGTGAGTCTGGCATTTAACTCTTCCTGACAAAGAGAGATGTATATTGCACTATTGAGTTATAAATCTTGTAATTCGCAAGTCTAAAATTATAAATAAAAATAACGTGTAAGGACCGCCTGTTCCTTCAAAAAAAAAATTTTCTAAATATGATATAGATATACATACTATATTATTAAAATACTTTCATGATTAAGCAAACTATTATGAATATCACAAAACTTATTCTGCAATTTCAAAAAAACATATTGGAATTACACAAGAAGAAATAAATATATACATAAACAAATGTACTGCCTGTACTATAAATACATCTATTAAAGAAAAAACTAATATAATATCTGTAGTATTATCAGGTCCCTGGTAACATATTCAAATTGATTTAATTGATTTCCAAGATTTTGCTAAAAAGAACAATAGTTTTTATGATTGCTTATATGTGTTTGTATATTTTTTAAATTTCTTGTGTCAGTTTCAATAAAAAACAAGAAAACAAAAACAGTTACGATATATCTTCTTAAAGATGTTTTCAAAATTCTTGATCCTTCTAAAATTCTTCAAAGTGATAATGATAAGGAATTCATTGCAAATATAATCACATAGATTTGTAGAACCTTGAATATTACAATTAGGTATAGTAGACCTCAATATCCACAATCATAAGGACAAATCGAATGACTTAATAAAACAATAGGTTATGATTTTACAAAGTTACTTTGGGATCAAGATAATCAACTACAAAAAAAAAACTGGATCAATATAATTGATACATTTGTAATATTGTATAACTCAACAGTTCATACAGCATATGATTGTATACCACATGAAGCACTTTTTGGATGGAAAATGCACTGTATTTATAATACTTCTAATATAAATGGTTTGTTAATATTCAAATAAATATGAAGAAGTTAACAAACAAATAATTTAATCAAACGTTTCTTTTGTTCTTTTTGTAATAAGTGTTTCTAAGAATGTTATTATAGAAATTATTCCAAAAGCCACTATTACTAAAACTACCACCACCAATACCACTACTAATAAAATCACTATTATTAATATAACTGCTATCTGTGAAACTACCATCACCATCCAAGCTGTTACTTCTGAATTTGCTATCTGTGAAATTACTACTGTCCAAGCTGCTGCCTCCAAATTTACTAATCAAATTGTTATCCATGAAACCACCAATACTATTCAAGATACTGCTTTCGAAACTATCAATGCTATTCAAGTTACTACTTCTGAAACTATGAATACTATTCAAGCTACTGCCCCCAAAACTACCATCCAGAATGTTAAATCCAAAGCAGTAGAAGAATATATTTTACAAACATTAGAACTTCAGCAATCCATAAACACATCACTTGAAAAATATCATGTAAGAATATATCAGCAAGGTAGTATGCATAGAAAAAAAACAACTAATAATACAATTGAAGCTGGTGCCACAATTATTATTGTATCAGATCATAATATGAATCAACAAATTAGAAAAAAAAAGCTACAATCAACCTTTTCTCAATGCGGTGTGTTTAAATCACTCATATTTAATAATCAAACTGTAATTGTTTAAATGAATGGTGAAGATGTTTGGGTTCCTATCAAGCAAGTCAAAGTTATACAAAAAAAGTTGTAATATAATTGTGGCAATGAATGAATAGATGGGCAAAGTATTTTTTAAAAATTTTTATTTTTATTTTTTTCAGTTTTTTGAAATAGGCTTTTAGAGTATTTTTTTTTTTTTTTGAAAGCATAAAGATGTAAAAATTTTTTTAAATCAAATTTTATTTCACAAAAATAAAAGATTATGCATATATATTACATAGCATGTTAAACTATTCTAAAGTTACCAATTTCAAATTTATAGCTGAAGTAGTACAAAATAATTGCAGAAATCAATGGTTGGATAAGTGATCAAAAACTGAGATAAGTGTTTAATTACCTGAAGAATGTGCAACGGATTGGTACATAGTCTACCAAGATTGCTTCAACAATTGGAACAATAGAAGTAATCATAGGGGAAGCTTTGTGCCAGCCTTTCTCCAATGCTTTGTGACACTTGAGCAGCGACGGCAGTGGCTGTCAAAGCTTGTGAAACTAAAACAAGAAAAGGATAAGAAGGTTGCAACCTATGCTCAATGATTTTAGGATCTGCTAAGAAGAGTCAATCCTGACGATAGCAAACCTGGGAGGGATGAAGTAAAAGCATTCATAAGAGGGTTGGAAAAAGGGATTGCATCATTGCTTATTATCAGAAATGATGCTATGTTAAAAGAGGCAATCAAGGAAGCAAAATGGGTTGAAGAGTACTTGGAGTTTAGGCTATACAAAACAAATCTGAAATCGACAAAGAGATAAGACAAAGCCATATTGACAAAAGAACATATTGAAACTGCATTAAAGAACTAATATCACTACTAAATGAGAACCACAAGGAAATCAAAATCGAAAAAAAGTTAAACACAGAGCCTACCAATGAGAATAATGAACCTGAGTATAATAAAAGAATCGAAATCTGGGACTTCAATGATAGGCAGCAACAAGGCATCCAGATATTTGAAGAAAAATTGATCTTGGTTAAGTTAAGATAAGAACAAGAAGAGATAGAAGCAGGTAAGAGAGAAGGATATATCATGGATAAGTCAATCAGTGAGCTCGAGTCTGTCAATACTATCAGATCGATTATCCTGAACTACATCACAGATGCATCACAATTGGAAGTATTACCATTACCATTAAAAGAAACAAGAAAACTAATGAAAAACAGATCTAAGAGAGAGAAACAAGAAGACATCACCATGCTAATAGTGGAACCATTGATGATGACAAGGACAAATCCCAACTGGATAATACAAACTCTGTCATATACTTATTAGCAAGAGGAGAATCACTGACGAACCAGCTAGATACAAACAGTATCGATTAAGGATCTGAGTGTACTGATAAAGTATGATATACTGATAATACCAGTGATAATGTCCTGATCAGACAAAATATGTATAAGGATAATCAAGGTACAAGAGAATTAATTGCTATAAGAGTAGCAGACACATTGAACGACAAGATGGAGAAATGATATTACTCACCTGTATTGCACCAGCAACTCTTGAATATACTTTGTTACAACCTGGTATTAGAGCTTGATGTCGAAATATCACCTAAAAGAAAAACCAAGGGGATCTATATATTATATAACACTGATAAGATTTTACTAACCGATAACCCACCACCATTAATAATCGCAAATGATAAACATTAACTGAATTCTGGGAAAATCAGATTTTGGATTCAGTCTTATGCATGGTACATATAAGATAGATATGAGGAAAATGTTATGGATAAAATCAATACAGGCATATATGTGATATCATGTTACATTATCCTATTGTCATGATTCATGAGGGAATTAAGGTGGAAAATTAGATGGAAAAGTTTAGTGACAGAAATTTCTAGAGTAGTATAGAATAGCGATCGAATATAAACATATAAATAACAAATGCATATATAAATACATGCACCAATCAGTAGAGAGTTAGTAACATATTAAGTAAAAACAATAAAGTAATGTTTGTAAATAAACTTTTACCTTGTATTTTGTGTGTCAAAGGAACTTGTAACTTGGACTATGTGACTACAAAAGAGAACCAAAGTTTTACCTAAGGAAATTGACATTGGAAGAGTTCTAGGCTAGTCAGTAAAGAAGTTAAAGTGAGAAGACTGACCAAATCAGAAATATGTCTCAAAAGTTAGAGAAACTTACCTTATTGTGAATCAAAGTGATAACCAGCAGTATAGGCTGAACGGATAGCTTATAATAACAAATAAAAAAGGATTACTATCATTACAATTACATATGCTATATCACTATATGTATGTTAGAAGAAAAGCTGCATATGTAACAATAAGTTATATAAATTTCAATATTATCTGATTTTATAATTATCTGTAACAATTTTTATTGTAGATCAAAAAATTACAAGTAACTATTACATAAACAATCTTAGCTATCGCTAGTTAACTAATGACCCACTCTTATTCTAATCCTGATATCAACTTACACCTTAAGGGTGGATTTACAGTACTTGAATATGGAATATATAGAGAACTGTTTTTTTATTTTCTAAATGTCACTAAAGTTCTTATTATTTCACTCTCTACAACCTATCCTTCCTGATCCCAGGACTTGTTTACTTCTTTACACTTCCTAGTAAATGCTTCAAAAGTTTGTTTCTATAGTTGACACATACTACCAAATCTGAGATTCAGTTGCTGGTCAAGTAAAGCATAACTCCTTAAGAATTACTTCTTACTCTCCTAGTAGACACTCCATAGGTCTCTTAGTTGGTTTAAACTGTCAAATCTAGGGTACTAATACTAATCAGGGTGCAACTCTTGTAAAGTAACCTGGATTTGTTTTATTTTAATTATACCCATTGAGTAATTATCTTCAAAGTTATTTAATCAGATCAATAGGTTTTTTTTTATAGTCTCGTAAACTATAAAAGGGGGAAATGGTCTAAAGAAAATCAAAAAATGTATCAAACATAGTATTGATTATTGTAGTACTAATTAGATAATCAATGTATCATGATATCTTTTTTGAAGAACACAATCTCAATATCTGCTGAATCAGTATGTAAAATGGTTTTGTATAAGAAACAGTACATAACAAATTATAGTGCCAGATAAGGATCCTAACGATTCTTTTTGATTCTGTATTTGATTCTCAAGTTTATATTAAATTTAATAAGTAGGGTATACCCCACCATCATTTTTAATAGTGTTTCGAATCTCATACGATTCTGTTCGATTCTATTCAATTCCAATTTTCAGAACTATAGTGCCAGATACCATATAAAACTATTCAATCACCTTTACTTGGGATTGAACCAGTATCTTGTAATCTGATCTGTGGAATGCTAATATTATATATTATTATATTAAATATTTCAATTACTATTATACATATAGTAAAATTGAATTTAGGTATTTTTTAAAAATTATATTATATAGTAAATAATTGATATTTTATTTAATTCAAAATTATATTGTCAATTAAATTTTCTTTTATAGTAATAAGAAAACATATATAACTAATATAATATTTATAAATTTTTATATTAATATTGATTATTATTTTATTAGATATTATAAAGTACAACTCTTCAAAAGTTTGAATAACAATAGTTATACAGTAGTTTTTTAAATATATTTATTCTAACCATCAGCAAATAAACAATATTGAATTTGATAATAATAATTATATCAATTTTTTGGAAAGAGTATGTTATTTATTTTTTTTAAAAAAAATTATAAAAAAATTTTTTTAAAAATTTACAACTTGAGAAAAGTTATTATTTTTTAATATAATTTTTGAAAGAAAAAAATTAACTGGTTAGAAAAGTAATGAAATAAAAAATAGTATTTCAAAAGAAAAAAAAACTTTAAAAAAGAAAAACTTTTTAAAAAAAAAAACTTCAGTAAAAAAAAAAGTTTATTAAAAAGAAAAAAAAAATATATTTAGGAAAGAAAAAATAAAAGAAGTAAAAAATAAATAAATAAATAAAAACAACTTAAAATTTTTCTAAAAAGAAACTTTTTAAGTATAAGAAAAGAAGTAAAAAAAAGTTTTTTAAGAATAATAAAAAAAATTAATTGATATTAATATTTAAATTATTGATTTTATAATAAATTTATAATAATATACTTAAATCTTTCTAATATATATTTTAAAAACTTGAAAGAAAAAAATAATTTAAAAGAAAAATTTCTTAATATATTATAAAATATTAAATATAAAAAAAACCAAATTCAAATATATAGTATATAAATAACAAATATAATAAATACAAATGATAATTTAAATATTTATAACAAAATTTTATATTTAAACAATTCAATTAATATTATTACTTATTATTTTTTATATAATCTATTTATATTCTTTCAAACAAATAAATTTTTATAAATTTTCAAAATTAAATAATTTTTTTTTCCTGTAGATAAATATCATTTCTTTATTTGTTTATATATTACATATTATAAATTTAAAAAAATTAATATTTTTTAGATGCAAAGTATATAATAGGCAAAATTCTAACCTATTTATTAATATTATTAATAAATAATATTGAAAAGAAAATTTTAAAACAATATTATTACTAAATATAAATCAAATAGCAATTATACTTATTTTATTATTATTTTTTTTTTTTTTGCAAAAGGCATTAAATGCGAGACATTTATTAAACTTTCGTTTTTACATCATTACATTAAGAATCTCTAACATACAAAGTAAGTAGATTAATTCTAGCCTAATACAAATAAAGTTGACATATGCG